GCTGCGTGCGCGGAGCCGGTGGTCGCTGCTCACCGCGGCTGCTGCCGCCGGGCTGGCCTTGCAAGGCTTAGTTCAGGGCAGGAGCTGGTGCTAGGAATGCAGTGGGCTCAGCTAATCCGTGCCGGGGCAGGACAAATGAGTCTGTAGAAGGAATTAAAGCAAAACAGCTGTTGGTCTTGAAAGCCTTAAAAGTTTGCTTTCTGCAGGCGGCCCAAACTTGCGAGCTCCTTGTAGTTTTTCAGGCAGCGGTTTTGAGCTGGGTGCTGCGGCTCCTGTTCTTTGACAGGAGCTCAAATGCGTTGTGAAAAAGGAGAGGGGAGTTGTTCATCTTGTATGAGAAGGAAGAGCACACAAAAACTGCCTGATAGCTGAGGATCGAATAAGGAAACCTGGAGGCAAGTCCCAGTTCGGCCTCAGACAGCTAGCTCAGCAGAACAGGCAGGGGCAGATCCACGATGCTGGTCCCAGCTGGCCAGTTCGTTGTCTGCCAGTAGGCAGTGGTTCTGCTCCACTTGCTGGATAAACCTGCCTCTTAGCCAGCATAAATATGGGAGAGGAGGTAACTTAGCTCCCTCGTGTTGAAGAGAGAAAATGGAATGGGACTTCAGCTTTTGGGGAAAAAAAAGTTATGCTCCTCGTTCTTTTCATTGTAGCTTCAAAGGGATTATATAATTATATGAAAACAAAAAAGTCTTCTCTGCTTCTTCTGAACTGTTTCTTCTGTGCTTAACCTTCAAAAGGAAACAAAAAGTCCAGGAAAAACAAATTCCATTCATCACGATTTTGAAGGCACAGAACATTTGAGGTCAATAGAAGAACCTTCAAAAATCTGGTTCCCAAGATGTTTGCACAGAAACGGTACAAAACAAATTCTTAAAGCAGTTCCAGGGACAGAGCAACTCCAGCTCAGGGAGAGCCCAAACTAGCGGCTTACGAATGACACACGGTGTGTGACTTCTGGGCAAAGTCACTGTAATTATCCTCTTGCTGTGGATGAGGATGTGGAGGCAAGTGACCTCTTCAAGGCCACTCAGAAAAGCAGAGCTGCTGAGGTGGCAGCAGCAACTCCAGAAACTGAATATAGCTCTTTTGGGACCATCTATGAGAGGCTGTCTTGTGCACAAGGTCTTGCTGCCTAGTGAAATTAGCCTAAGGCTTGATGGTGCTCCTACCTGTGAGCTTAAGCAGTAGTAGAAAGAAGGGTGTGGAGAGCTTTTCCATTTCCCAGCATCTTTGAGTGAGACCCAGAACAACAACAACAAAAAAGACCGAAGAGAGAGTGGAACAGTGAGAAATGAATGTAGGCTAATAATCCCATTAAGTAATGGCACATGATTATGGAGAGCTGTAATAAGTCGATACTGTCACAATATTTGATCGCTGCCTAGGGCTCTGAAGGCTCTGAATGAAAGCTTCTATGCACGGCCTGAAATTTTTCTCCTCTGCAGCAATGGCTGTCATAATTGTTTAATTAATGAACTCATTAGATCCCAGTACTACTAGAAAAAGCATATCAACCTCCTGACCGATCACAATCAAAATGTAAATACTGGTTATTCAAGACACTGGTTAGCCATCTGTTTAAGCAGCAGAAGAGCATAAAAACCAGCTTCGCATTTTGGGGATTTGGCCCACTTCACCCACAAGATCTGGATGTTAAAGGAGTGTCACAACAAATTGCAGGTGGAGGCCAGCTTGCAGCATTACCTACAATTAAAGCAGCATTTGCCTGGTTATTAAGTTTACGACCAGTCTGGGAACACAATCCTCCACTGAACCCACAGCAAGACTCCAGCTGACTTCACTGGCGTTCAGCTTTAACCCTGCATCATCACTAAGCGCAACAGTGAGGAAGTGTAATTAAATTCTGCGCGTGTACCAAGAACAGCTCAAAGTTACACGTCCCTGAGTGGTGCTGTGGAGACAAACCCGGGGACTTGTGCTCCCAGGCTGCAACGCCCCTAGCTGCGCTGTCTTCTGTGGGTGTTAACGTGAGGACAGGAGGGTCTTTTCTGGTTCTCACACTGCTGCATCGTGTCCCTGCAAGGTAAGACATTGACACTTCTGTAAAAAGGCCACCCTTGCTTTCTTGGAAGGTACATTATCATACGGCGATGGCACACTTCAGCTATTGTCGTGTTGCTTGATACACAGCTATCAAGCCATTTCAGTGTCCCAGCTCACGATTTTTGAGCGGCTGGTGTCATCATGGCAGACCCTCTGTTTGGAAACTTGAACAAAAGCCTTTGGCATGTGTCACTGAAGTTTTTATGTCCAGTAGGAATTGTAGCTCCCCAGATTAGATGAGCTGAGTTAGGAGAACAGACTCATCTCCTGTGAGCCAGAATGCAAGTTGGCGTATCTGAAGGCATTTCAGCTAGCTGTAGTCACCCTGGCTTCCACAGTAGGCCAAAATACTCATGTTCTGGTCTTTCAGCAAAGGTTATAGGAGATTGTAGCGTCTTTGAGCTGCCAGGTCAAACCGTGTCAAGTTCTGAAGCAGGTTTGGTGTTCAAGGTCTTGCAGTCACTTCAGACTGTTAGTCACTGTTACAGTAGGGAAAGGTTTAATAACTGCTTGTGCTGTTGTGTGGGCTACTGTAATTTGCTTCTGGCTCTGCAGAACTGAAGGAAACCTAGAGGTATCCACCACCAGCCTTGCTGTGGCAAGTCTAGAGGTTTGTCCTCCCTTCACCTCTCACCCAGAGTTCAAGCCCGTGGGGATTAAATAGCTTTCAACTTCCTAAAGCTCAGTGTGGTTCACCAGCTTCCCAGTTGTCCTACCTGAAAGGCTGCTGCCTCCTTTACTGTAGGATCGCAGCAGCCAAGGCATCTGGCTAAGTCCCAAAGATCTGCCTGTCATTCTCAGTGTGGGCACAGCAACCCCAGAGGACATGTCTTAGATGTCAGGATGCACTACGCAGCCTGGGTAGCATGGGCCTTGAGAATATGTTTAGATGAATAAAGCGCAGCAATGATTTCACAAGGAAATGGCTCAGATTTCCTCCTCAGCCTGTGAGAAGGACCATGGCCACATCAGAAATGGGGAAACATCCTAGTCCCTGTGAATTTATTTTCTGCTGTAAAAGCAACGTGCTTTCCATAACCACCGAAGACAGCAAAGCTGGGCAAACACTGCAGCACTTCACTAGAGGCCATGGTTTAACACCACCAGGACTAGCCCACAGAAGCAGTCAAAAGTATCAAGCAGGCAATAGTCTCAGTGGTTGGAGTTGGCAGAGAATTGCTGTAATCAGTGATGCTTGATCCCCTGTTTTATTAAATTCCTCAGTGTTCAAATGATTTTTTTTTTTATTATTTTCTTTGGTGATAGGTTGCTAGCAGGCTGAGAGGCATGAAGGCAAAAGGCTGAGAGATTGTCTGTTTTATCCATTGCGAAACAGAAAAACATTAGTGCTGTAGTGAATTTTCCTCCCAAGTAGGTATGGACATTAAGAAGTTTGCACTTAGAAATAAGACAGGAGAGCGGCTTCTGTAACATCTCCAGGGCTGCCAGCCCCTCACCTTCCTGGCTGCCTATTTGTCAGTCCAGTTAATGACAAATTGGGACTCAGTGCCTGCTTCGTGTCTGTGTGTCTCATGGTCACACGTCTGTCCTGACCTGGATCTCTGACTTTACCTATGGACGTTTCCCCAGAAGAGCAGGCTGGGGCCACTGCCTCTGGCTCCCTGACATTTGCTGTCACCAAGGTGATGGGGGACAAAAGAAAGCAACAACAGTGTTTCCTTAGCTCCAAGAGTAAAAGTTAGTAAAATGTCAGTATTTAATGGGCGGAAGAAGATAGTAATTGATCAGGAAAAGTTCACCCTGCTGTCACTCTTGATCTCATAGCTCTTCTTGACTGCAGGGCTATCTGCAAAGTTCTCTGAACGGTACATGAACCTTGCTCAGATGAGATAACTGAATTTTTCCTATCAAAGGCTGAATGAAAATATCAAATCAGTTGTAGAAACTGTTTTTTCTGGACACTTGTTCTTTCTTTCCCTAGACTATAGCAATCTGTTACTGTAAGATTATTTCTTCACTGACTTAGGTTGATGGTTTAAATTCCTCTGTAATAAATTGCTTAAGACACCAAAGCACAGATTGGTCCCAGGTTGGGCTGCTGTCCCCTCTGTGTCCCGTTCAAGGGGTTTCCCTGACCTACGAGGCAGGCTGAGGCAAAATGGTGGTGTCATGTAATTAGCTTTATTTTAAGCACATGTTAGCAGCATTTGTAGTCTTGTACTTATGAAATACACAATAGTTTTCCATCTTCTTCTTGCTGTGAATTGTACAGCGCTGGAGAGCAGTGCTCTGAGTAGGAGGAAAAATACAATAGAAGCATTTGACCCGCTTTCATTTTTGCCACCTACGAAACAAGACGTTTCTAACACAGCATTCCGGCTGTTTTAGCATTTCTAAAAGTTTTCATCCCCTGGCAGCATTTAAGGCAAGAGGCTATTCTGGTTTTTGTTACCAAGAAGCCAGTGGTTGTCAGAGTACAGAAAGCAGCAGAGAGTTATCAGAGGAGAATCCTTCGGGTTGACAGGGAGAATAAGACGGTTCATCAAGCCGCAGGAGTGTCTTTCCTCATGCGTCGCTCGAGCTCCGTGGCAGAAACGTACCTGCTCCAGACCAGGTGCTCCTTTCCAGAGATAGAGCTCTTTGTGAAGGTGAGCATTTTAAAGCAATCCAACAGCAATGTTTGGAGAACTTTTGGAGAACTTTTTACTATATTTGAGATTCATTTGATGATGTTGAGGGAGGTGAAAGAGCAAGCGGAACTGGTTTTACTAATGTGCGTTGTTTGGTTGTAAGGTCTGCAAACCTTAATGAACTAACCTGTTGACTAAGTAAATGATACACCTGCTTTTTTACTTCTGTGCCCTTACATTTCATCTTAAGTTTTAAAACTGCGCTTTAGGAGAATCATATGAAGGGCTTAAACATTAGACTCTGATCTCTGTCACATGAACCCTAACTCAACCAACAGCAGCGACGCAAGACTTCGCCTCCTTTTAATGAAGGCTCTTAGCAAAATGCAATACAAAGCACGCGAGAGCAACACTTCTGTGGCCGCACGTATGGTGTGTTGCATCTCTTATGCTTTGCACTGGCACCTGGTGACTTGTTTAGCCAAAAAGAGAAGACCATCATTACAGAGAGAGAGAGGTTACGTGACTTGGATACGGCCACGCTTCAGTCTTAGAAGTGGGAGCCTTGGGTCTGTAAGGAGGAGGGTTTAGCCAGGGGACGTGGCACTTGTGCTTCATTAGTCCTCAGTTCAGCAAAGCTCAGAGACGGGTGCGATCAGCTTGAGGAAGGCTACTGCCTAATTTCCCTCCTCTGGGGCCCCCATAGTTGTCTAGTTTGAAACTATTAATTATTTAGTTTATTCTCTTTATTCCCTTAAGTGCTTTAGACGTTACATCTCAATTTATGCTGGTAGGTCTTTCTTTGCTTGTTTCCTGTGATCATAAAACTGATTTAAACTTATTTTAATCTCACAGTGACTTAGGTAGATTTATGTTCATACAGACAAATGAGGTGCTGTCGTGGTTTAACCCCAGGGGGGAACTAAGCACCACGCAGCCGCTCACTCACTCCCCGCACCAGCGGGATGGGGGAAGAGAATTGGAAGGGTAAAATTGAGAAAACTTGTGGGTTGAGCTAAGAACAGTTTAATAACTGAAATAAAACAACAACAACAAAAATAATAACAACAATAATGACAATGATGATGACGATAAAAAGGAAAATAACAAAGAGAGAGAAATAAAACCCAAGAAAGGCAAATGAAAACAGTTGCCCATCCTTAACCAATGGATGCCCAGCCAGCCCCCCAGCAGGGACCCCCTGGCCAACCTTCTCCCTAGTTCTATTGCCGAGCGTGACGCCGTACGGTACGGGACATCCCTGGGGCCAGCTGGGGTCAGCTGTCCCGGCTGTGCCCCCCCCAGCCTCCCCGCACCCCCAGCCTGCTCGCTGCTGGGGTGGGGCGAGGGGCAGGAAAGGCCTCGACGCTGTGTGAGCGCTGCTCAGCAGGGACGAACACAGCCCTGGGTTACCAGCACCGTTCCCAGCACAGCTCCAAACCACGGCCCCGTACCGGCTTCTGTGAAGAAAATTAACTCTGCCCCAGCCCAAACCAGCTGGGAGATAGGGGACTATTTCCTGTGGAAGGACTGCTGCGATTTCAAGTTTGTTTTCTAACTTATGGCAATGTTCATTATGCATTTTAATGAAAAGCTACGTCTCCAAGATGACAGGATTCTTCATCATATCTGTGTGCATGTTTGGAGAAGCATATAAAGAAACTTTGCATGAAAATATGTATTAGTAGAGATGAGTAACATGCTATACGTACTTGTAGCAGACCTGGGTTTTCTGCTTTCCTACTACATCTGCTATCAAAATTTGCTATCATCACAGATGTATGTATACCTTTTTTTTTTTTTAATTATAGGCTGGCAGTGATGGGGAGAGTATTGGAAATTGCCCATTCTCTCAGCGTCTCTTTATGATTCTGTGGCTAAAAGGTGTCATATTTAACGTCACAACCGTGGATTTGAAAAGGTGAGATGGTAACCGAAGTTCTCATTTTCAGAACAACCTTTCCAAAATGGTGACTTTAAACTCTTCTCATAGACTGGAAATGCACGCCGTGCCTTGGCATTACGCTAACCAACTGGATGCCTGACTCCTCTTTAGGGTTCACTAGTATAAAGTGGACCAAGTCCTTTGAAGCAGTTGAGATTTTAATGTTTTGCAGTAGGTCTCTGTAACGTACGACAGAAGTTTTGGGGGTTTTCTTAAGCATTTCAGAGCACATTCGCGTACGAGCTAGCGCGATTCTCACGCCACTGGTGCGCGGCAGCTGGCTAAGTTTTATTTTGTAAGAAAGGCGTAGAGCAGCCTGCTATTTTAAAGGTGAAACAGTCTGTTACAATTAAGCGTAGAAATTGGAAATGCGGTTCCTGCTGCCACTCACCCCATCTCTTTCCTCCCGCTAGAAAGCCTGCTGACCTGCAGAATCTCGCCCCGGGGACAAACCCCCCCTTCATGACGTTTGACGGCGAAGTGAAAACCGACGTCAATAAGATCGAGGAGTTCTTGGAAGAAAAGCTGGCACCGCCCCGGTACCGTATTCCCGGCCGCTTCTCCCGCTTGTAGTCCCTCACGGCCCTCGTCGGGGGTCAGTGACCAAAGCCCCTGGGTTTTGGCAGGTCCGGCCCTGGATGAGCTGGAAGTGGGAGGCGTGTGGGAGGCTCGGTGGGGCTGGTCCGGCCGCTGCGGTGCAGTTTGCTGGGAGGGGTAACCTCAGCTGGGGCGAAAGGGCGCTGGAGCCTGGCCCCGGGACGCCGGCCGTGCCCCTCCCGCCGCCCTCGCCTTTGCCCCCGGTTTGCTGTGCCGCTGCAGTCGGTCCCAAGGCACGAAATCCACCCCGCTGCAGCAGGAGCCTGCGTTGTCTGCAGAGACCTGACCTCTTTTCCCGTGCTCGCGGGGGTTTGGGGTTTCCCTCTTCACACCGTACCCAGGACTGGGCTCGCTGGGAGCGGGCAGTCGGAAGAAACGGGCAGCGGAAGCCTCCCATGGCAGGGGGGGT